ACATACACCCTAAGCAAGAGGGATCGTCACAATTCAAGGACAAATTCCAGCCAGGCAAAGCACTCAAGGAGCTCACAGAGCAGGACTCCTAGGGGTGTGGCTTCATAAAGGTGCCCTCTCACTCCTTTGGTGACTTTGGGCGACCCATTCTCTCTTTCAGAGACAACGCAGCATGGTTGTGTGGATGATACGAGGGAGGGGAACCCCTTATTTGAAGAGGGCCCAGGAGTCGAGACAGCTCAAGTAGATGGAGCAAACTCGACAAGGAGCTGCCTTGCCAATTGCCCCAAATGTCAAATTCACCTGCTCTTCCTTTGCCCCCAAAGCCAACTGTCCTGTCAAGAGACTGCAGGTGTACCAGGGTCCAGGTAGAGGATGGGCATTATAAGCATTCTTTGCTCCAGGAAAAGAGTTCAAAACAGTGTTCAGGTTCTACGTAGACATATAGAGTAGTGGTTCTCAAACCATCACACATGCACCCTGCCCAACCACTTGGAAATTGCTGAGGGTTTTGGCAGACCACTTCATGATTTTTCTGCCTTTTGTAGGAATTGTAATGCACTGTACTAGATGCTGTGTTATTTTTAATGGCATTTTTACTGCTTATTTTATTTCTTACATTGCCTTTTATTGTATTACAATTAAATTACATGGATTTTCAAACGATAAGCGTTCTTCGCAGACATGACATGGGTCACCCGTATGAAGATCAAAGAGCACAAGTAGACCATGGACCACAATTTGGGAACCCTGATCCAGGGCTTAGGCTATCAGAAATAGCCTGGGAGCTGTCCAACAGTCCTGCAAATCCTTCTTGTAACTCCATTACTCCATACCCAGTCCTTTTTTATAGCTGTCTCCCCACTAAATCTCCACTCACTTTGCTACAAAAGATATTGGGCTACAAGGCACTGCCACATAGTTCATCCTCTGTGTCTCTGCATGGTTTTGCCCAATCTTCAAGGGCCCTATTTTGCTCCATGGGCTTTTACTAGCAAAGACAGAATGAGCCGTGGATAAATCAAGAGGGCATTTCTCCCTACAAATTGAGTCCAGCTGAAAGAGTTCTATCCTTACAGGAGTATCAGCAACTGCAAGATGATGAAACAGAAGGTAAGGAGAGGAGCAAATTAAAGCTTTAGTGGATCGATCTAGATCAGGAATGGGGAACCTGTGGCCTTCTACCTGTTGTTGGGCTGCGACTCCCATCAGCCTCAGCCAGCATGGCCAATGGCCATGGGGGATGGAAGTCGGAGTCCTACCACTGTTGACGTGGTAGTCCGACAATCAAAAGGGTGACATTTCCCCAGCCTTGATCTAGATGAAAATGTACAGCCTTAGATATTAAGCAGGAAATGGAGGACACTGAAAGAAGCCTCAGCTCTCAAGGCCAAGGCATAATACTTCCCTGCTTCTGGTGGACACATTCCCCTCCCCTCCTCAGCTAATGACATATCCCTAGTTGCGGGGGGTGGGGGAGATGGAACACTTGGGTTGTTTGCCAATGTGGAAGCGACACTTGTGTTCTCACCATCACCTGCACTGAATAGCAGATGGTCCATGGAACTGCCTTGGAATGAGAACAACCAGTGTCTGCCACAAACAGGATTCATGTGGGCATCAACCCTTGTGAGAAGAACATTAGCAGAAAGAAATTGCACAAGTGCCGCAGCTCCACAGACTGCTTCTACATTCCTGGAATTCAATCAGTTAGAACTTTTCAACCAACAATACCAAATTGAAGAACTTCAGTGAAAGTATTTAATAATATAAAATTTCAAGGTGGCAGAGTTTAAATTTAAATATGCCTGGGAGGTCCAAAAATGAATTATAGTATCCTGGCTCCTGGCCTTTCTATCTCCAGCGCAATGCTCTGAAGGCAATGCAAGGATCCCAAAGATTAGCATTGCTGCCCTTTCTTTCATCTCCTTTGGCCCTTTGTTTGAGTACAGACTGAATTGTTTCCCTCCCTTTTGATCAGTTCGGTTAAGCCAACCCTGAGGGTAGTTTTCTGTTTTCCACTTGTTTTAGTAACCACATCACACAAATTCCTTGTTGCATGCCCTCCAATACCTTTGCAGATAGAATCTTTTTATTTAAATGTTGGAGAACAAAGTCCTAATCAAGACTAGGGTTTTTTTTTCTTTTTCATGTGTACTAACAGTACAATCAATCAAAACCTTTATTGCATTAGCATACAGCCATAGCAAAATAAGACAAAAATACTAGAGACAAGCAACCAAACAAAATTCAAAGCAATATTACTGGCGTAATGACATTTAAATTACCCTAAGACAATAATGTAAAGATTTAGTTGCCAGCGCCAAGAATCCAAAATGCGGATGTATATAAAACATAAAATGGCCCCAAAATAGGCTCGGCACATTGGGTTGAAAAAGTAATAAAAAGAATTAAAACAGGTCCAGGTCTAGGACACACTACCCAGTCAGAGTAGCCCTGAGTTTCAGAGCCTGCACTATAAAGATTGCCACCCCACGTGAAATTTGGGGATTTGCGTCCACAAGAAGCGATTTCAAACAGTCTTCCTTAGATGTAATGGTGGACGGGATCAAGAGGAGGAGCTTAGGTCTTATTGGCTCATAAATAGGGCAGTAGAAATGTATGAAGTCCTCTACTTCATTCATTGTGCATGGACATAAACGCTGAGTAATAGGGGTCTTAGAGTAAATCCCCTGCAGGAAGGCCGTGGGTATAGAATGGAAACGGGCCATAGTAAACGCTCTTCTCAAATTGGGCTCCGTCAGGTCTATCAAGTAGTTGGCAAGTGATCTTACCACTTTCACTTTAGGGAGCCACATGGAGAGGCGAGCTGTAATGGACTGTGCCCGGTCCATGGCCTCGTCTCTTGTAAGAATCCAGGCCCGGATTTTATGTTGGTCCCAAGATGACAGCGTGTCGAGATCTGGGAGGAGTAGCGTGCAGTAATAGTCTCCATGGCCTTGGACCATTTGTTGGTATGAGAACAAGTTAAAAGGCTTGCCTAGCTAGTAGGGAACCTGGGGCATTGAATAATTTACAGTAAAAACTAATGATTCTAATGTGGGCTCTTGCAACAATGGAGGGAGGCCCAGTTCTGTTCTTAACTGTGCAGCAACTGAGCCCTTGGGGAGGCCCAGTATCTTTCGTGCAAAAGAGTTTTGCAGAATCTCCAGCGATTGTAGTGTTTTTAAATTCCACCCCCAGATTTCAACCCCATACAGTAACATCGGGAGGACTTTGCTGATAAATGCTTTTCTGATTGGTGGAACCAACTGGCCGCCTTTTGCATAGAAGAATTTCTCCAAGGCTTTGATGGTTCTACGGGCAGCCAGGATGGTCATATTTAGGTGAGCTGACCAGCTAAGCCCATGCTGAAAAGTGATACCCAAATACTTGAATGCTGAACAATATTCAATAGAGTGGCCCTCAAAATTCCAGAAAGGCTTCCGAGTTTTCGTGCCAAAAGTAAGAATTTTGGTTTTGGCGAAATTGATTTTGAGGGGTTGGTATCACAATATGTCATGAGCCCTCTGAGCATGTTGTTTAAGCCCTGCTTGGTTAAAGACAGTATCACCATGTCGTCCGCATAGAGTAATATGGGGATCTTGAGCTGTTGTAAAGAGGGGACAGATTGATTTAGGGCCTTCATGGTTGTAACGATGTCATTGATGTAGAAATTGAATAGAAAAGGGGCCAAGAGGCAGCCCTGTTTGACCCCTTTATTCAGAGGGAAAGGATCAGATAGAGCTCCCAGAGGGTCAGATTTTACTCTGGCCGATATGTCATTATGAATTTCCATAAGAAGGTGGAGGAGTCTCTTATCTATGTTAGTGTAACTAAGCTTCTGCCATAGCCTATCTCTGGGGATGGAGTCAAAAGCGGAGGTCAGGTCCACAAAAGCCGCGTGTAGTTTGCAGTTGAACCTGTTTAGATATTTATCAATCAGGGTAAATAGAACAAGACATTGGCCAGATGTGCTGTGACCTTTACGGAAGCCAGCCTGTTCCGGGTGAAATAGCTTTGTTTCTTCTGCCCACTCGATTAATTTCTCTAGCAAGAATCTAGAGTAGACCTTGTATGATATGTCCAGCAGGCTGATAGGTCGATAGTTACGCGGATCTTGTGGATCCCCCTTTTTATGTATTGGGATGACTATGCTCTGTTTCCAATTAGGTGGAATCTTAAGAGTAGCATTAATAGTGGTAAGAGAGATGCTAAAATAGGGGCCCACCATGTCTGGTTCGACAAGAATACCTCAGGTGGTATCATATCCTCCCCGGGATTTATCCCTGAAAGCGTACTGATTAGTTGTATACATCTCTCTGGGGAGACTGGCTCCCAGGTGGGCAAGGCAGATGCTGGAAGAGTGGAGACAACATTTTCTTCGGGATCTGGGGCGGAATACAGCTGAGCAAAGTGAGAGTGCCAACTGGCTGCTGTGATGTTATTAGCGATGAATGAGGGGGGTCTTAAACCTGCATTAATTAAATTCCAGAATTTCTTGTCGTCACGGGTTTTAATGGCCACTGAGTAGGAGAAAGATGGCCACCGTGTAAGTTTCCTCCTTCCAGTTCTCTCCGACCTCTTCTCCTGACTTGGATTTTACAACCGCTGGAGTAAGCTATTTACTTTAGTTTTGCCTTTTGCTAGACAAGTAATTGCTGGACTCTCCACTGGTGTGATGCCAGATTTTAATTAAGTTTGACGAAGGAGGATTGCTTTGGATTGATCTGGGTGGTGCCAAACTTGTGTGCTTCATAGAACAACGATCCTTCAGACCTGCACCGCCGGCACGAAGAGAAACTCCCCTGTTTAAGGTTTCTTATTGCTAAATGATTTTCTCTTCTGGGGGACACTCGGACAAATGACTGAGAATTGTAAGTAAGCAACGAACTTTACCTTACTTTTTCTTCGCTCACCACTCCCCTGCCTCCTGCAATACTCTCTAAGGTGCATTAAGATATTTCCAATTATTGCGGATATTTCTCCTAATCTCCACTATGGGCCATGGCAAGCGGCCAAGGGACCTGGATGAGGCAATGCCTCCCCCGAGGCCCAAACAGTCCAAGATTGATTCTTTCTTTCTTAACTGTAGCAGAAATAACGAGGAAGATAGCTACACGGTTGAAACCCACAATCGTTTTAATCCTTTAATTGACCTCGCAGCCGATATAGAAGTGGAGGGGGTGAACTCGAAGGCAACGAATAATGCTAATGATAATGACAAAGAAGTGAGAGTCACCTCGAAGGGGGAGTCCGAGTTGGCCCTGGGCGATGGCATGGGATTCAATCATTTCCAATTAATAATCAGGACCCTGCGCTGCATCTTTAAGAGCATAAATGGGATCTCCATGCAGGTGAATAATCTCCACCAAAAGCTTGAGGCCCATTTGCTGGAGCTGCAGCACAACCTCACTCTGCCTCCGAGGGATTTAAAGGGACAGAGGTGTACCTCCCTGTTAGACATGAAAGTGGTACTGGTGGTCACCTCTTAAAAACTCAACTGGACTCTCAATCTCTGATCTTACAACCAAACAAAATATGTCTAACTATACGCAGCAGTGACCCCAGGTCCCCAAGGTGGAATAATCCGAGAGATGTCAAAGATCATCTAAGGCAACTCCTTCAGATTTGGCCTCCGCTAATAGATCTCAGTACAGTGAAACTCTTATACTACCACCATCGGTTCCAAAAAGTACTGCTCTCCTTTTTCATGTGTAATTCTTTTCCGGCTTGTCTTTCTTCATTAACAGGATGACTACGTTCGCAAACCACAGAGATCCAAATGCTAACATAGGAATACCCAAATCAAAGGTTTTTGGCATTAGCACTAAATGCATATCAAATGGGACACAGAGCTAACAGAGATGCCAAGGTACCTGGCTGATGCAAATTCCAGAGATGCCTTGTTGTTGGTGCTTACAAAACCCTCTTGTGCCACAGCAACACTTGCAAAGGCCCAGGGTTTTTCAGGTGCCATTGATCAGCTGATCAGTAGCGCTTGCAACCACTGCTTTCAGAACGCAGTTAATCTTTACCTGTCACAAACCTGGTGTCACATATGACACCAGGTGTAGGACAGGTGGGTGTGGCTTGGTTGAAATGGCCAAATTACAGGTTCTCCACTGCTGCCTTATTGTCACTGATAGGGTGCTATTTCTTTCCTCCTTGTGGCTAAAAGGCTAATAAATGGAAGCTATACTGAGATTTCACCAATGTTGGCATTCATAAGCAGCAGAACATGTGAGCTGACAGTTCATCTGTCTTTGCTATTACAAGTTCTGGGATCTCTGATGCTTCAAAACTGAATGTCTAAGAAATTGCCATGGCTACATCAAGTCCCATTTTCACTGGAATGAAATCGTAGGTCATCAGCAGTAACACAGGTGATGCTGGTACACTCAGTAGTATAAGGCTCTCTGTGAAGGGAGAGGGGTTGACAAACATTGGTGCTTCCCAAAACATTGGTCCTCAATAACTTGTTCTGGTCCAGACAGTGAGCCTAAAAGGCAGGACAACATATAGCTCTAAGTAGTGCTATTTTTCTATAAAAAGAGGCGCTGGAGCTCACTATGAACTCCTCCCTTGTTGTCTTATAATGACAATGGCACCCACCTGAGAGGTGCTGAAACTGAGTTCCAGTGACCTATGGCTGAAAAAAAGCCCTGGCTCTAAGCGAGAAACTTGCTCCTAGGAAGGCTGGAGGTGAAGTGAGGTTCTGAGTCCCTCTCAGACTCCACCCCAGAGGATACACCATAGCAGGCCTTGCCCAGGTATCAGCATATTTGATTGCAATTGTTGCCAGCAAATGATGACTGGCTTAATATTTTAATGTGGCCTTTAATTCTGGTGGACAAGGTATATGAAGATAAGCAGACCTGCTGAGGTCCAGTAGTATGATTCATAGTTGCTGCTAAAGGTCATAAGTCCAAATTCAGCAACTTCCACTGAGGATCATAGGGTGACTATATCTTTCCGCTGTGAAGGATAACTTTATCAACTGTGATTAAGCATGAGATCTAAATAGAACCTCTGTGTTCAGAAGAAGGTTAGCTCTGAGTACTGGATGCTGAGGGTAGGGGAGGATACCAAGTCAACAGAACAACATCCATTTGAATAAGGGATCTAGTCTTCAGGATTCATTGAATCGGGACAACCCCCACCCTGAAGCTCTGTGCCATTTCATCCATCCTTCCTTGTGCAGTTGTGAATGAGCAGGGTGCTCCACATACCACAGGGCCAGCATTTTGGCCATTCAAGTGAAACTCTGACCCAATTTACTAGCCTACACTCTGACTTTCAGTTAGGAATGGAGCATAAATTCAATTCAGTTCACATTTGAGGAACCTACCTAATCCACACTTTCTGAAACAGTACATGGACTGAAACACAACCAGCCTTCAGAATTTGCACTGAATTTTGAAATGCAGTTCTCCAACCAAGCAAGTCAAGTACTTTGTACAGAAGTGCATATACCTGTATAAAGTATGCATAAAAATGAAAATATTGGTGAAAATAACACCCCAAACTGCATTATAGTAGGGGAAACCTCTTTGCAAAAATCTGTATATTAGGCAAAATTGCATATAAGAAGAGATTCACAGCAACATGCTGATGAATTTCCATGAGGCTTTATTTTAAAGAAAAATAATACAGAAGTGGAAGTATGGGAAACTGAACTTACATTTGGAAAAATGAGAAACTGATAGAACCTGAAAGTGAAAGATTTGCCCATCCTAACTCTTAAAACTAATCTTAAAGTATATTTTCCTTACTCCCATATAGCCAGACTCATATGATTAAAGGGAAGCACCACTTGCTGGTTTCCTCCTGTTCATTTCTTGTTTGGCAGTGTTAAGATGCTTGCATGAACTGGAACTGCCACTGGAGCAGAGCCCTATGGAATATACAGCTTACACAGTGGAAGAATCAGCTGCAAAAAAGCACAAGGCGAGCATTTAGCCTACCAAGTATTTTGGGGTGCAGCAAAAGTGCTCACGGTGGATTTGCAGAAGCTGGGTGCCTGTAATCTTTACAGCAATTAGATTTAATGGGATACAAGTGCTTCTTTCCTTCGCCTCTGCTCCCTCCTCCCCTTTTCTCCCTCAGGCTGGAGAGAAGGAGGTGGGCAGAGGGGGATTGGAAAGGGTCTTTGACGTCAGACTTGCCCTATAAAAGCCCAGCGAAGAGAAGGGAAAGCAAAGCTGAATGCTGAGCCAGTGCACCAGCAAGGATGCCAACCCCAAACTCTTCCAGTTCTTCGGCCAAAGGTTTCCGGCGGGCAGTGTCAGAGCTGGACTCCAAGCAAGCTGAGGCCATCATGGTAAGAAAAGATCCCCACCTCTGACTAGCCACAGGTGCTCATGCTGCATTGCTGTGGCCAGCAAATGTACCGATGGCACATGATTTATAGAAGTTCCAGAATTCTAGAATTTCTAGAACAGCATTCTGTTAAGGGGGAAGCCAGTGGCTAGACAAAATTCTCCATTCAAAAGGCTTTAGGAATTGTGCAAATAATTTGTGTGCAGTTATCATACAGGTGCCAAAGGAAAAAAGAATGTAGAAATAGGATGCTAATGAAAAAGAATATAGTGTAGCAATTATGCATCATAGACTGGAATGATGTTAAGAGTTATGCTCAGAGAAGAATGATGGCAAGGAGGGTTATCATCAGAATCATAGCTGAGTTGCTGTGCAGGGCTTTTGATTCCTTAGTGTTAAAGTGAGATGTTTGTTCTATTCCCATAAAATGAAAATCTTTGCCCCCCCCCAATACCATGCCTTGAACCAACAAGGCAGTGGGGACTCAGCCCAATTTTCTAACTGCTACTATGCAATATTGCAATCCTTTCATTTTTCTCACTATGGCTTGCAAAAATCATAACTGAGTTATATCAGGTTTTTGCATAGAGCAGATATGCAAGGGAAAATGACATAAAATCTCGTGAAGAGTTTATGCAGCTGAACTAGGTTGGATTGAACTCTCACAAATTCTGCTAGCCGAGTTGGGAGTATGTGATCCTTGGTTTTCATTGCCATCTTGTTTAGTGAATATGCTCCTGCCTGCTTCTTAGCTTCTGCATTTGACATAGATGTCACCGAAACATTATGTCAGCCTTCCCCAGTCAGGTGCCCTTCAGATATTTCAGACTACAACTCCTATCATCCCCAGCCAGCATGGCCAACAGTTAGGAATGATGGGAACTGTAATCCAAAACATTTGGAGAGCACCAGGTTGAGGAAGCTTGCTTTAGTATGGTTCGCACATTAATTTATTATTTCATTTATCACATAAAACTCATATGCTGTTGATTGTTAAAATAAACTCAAAGCAGTTTACATGTACATCCTTCCTCACATCAGTCCATGATTGACAAATGTGAGTGACCATCACAGGTGGAATGCCAAAGGTGAACACACCATATGCCAGGATTATTTGATTGGCAACTGACTGTGTGAACTGAGCCAATCACCAAGTGCCAGGAAACCAAATGGTGTGCCTGGGGGAGCCAGGTGGAGTTTGCAAGTTGCTTACCCTCCAATTTTACCACAGATTTCAAGGGGATGACAGACACACTAAGCAGTTTGAAAGTTAGAAGCTAAAGGCTAAATAACATGCAATGTTCAATGTGTGGTCCCATTTCATTGGCTAACAGCAGCTAGGAGGATCAGGACTAGGGTTAAGGTGCAATGGGAAGAGAGTTTAACCTTTCTCCCTGTACTTCAGTCTCAGTGAAAATCCTACCCACCCACCCACAAAAAACAGCTACATAGCAGTACATTTTACGTCAAGACTATGATGCAGGAAGAAAGGGTTAAAACCCACCACCCATCTGCAGCATGGTTCTGATCCTTCTTTCTGTTTAGAAAAAGTTCTCCTGCAAACCATTAGTTATTTGTACAATATTTTCATTGGCTTCTTAGAGGGTTTTGTTTTTTGTATTTTTGTATGTGGTACTACACAAGAAAGGTTTAGTTCTGCTGTCCAACCTCCAAGGAAACAAATGGGAATTTCGTAACTCTCATTTCTACAGACCTTGGGCAAAATAAATTCTCAGTGGATTCTGCACTTGGGCAAAGAGCTCCACACTGGCTTTCAAACAACATAGAAGTTTCTTCTGTGAAGAAAAGTGAATTCCCACTGTGGATAGCAATGTGTGATGATCTTATATATGTACACCCCACTGAAAATTCACTTCTTGGGAAGCCACAGCAAATTATGTTTGCCCACCACATGCATGTATAGCAATTCACACACATTTTGGATTGTACAAATTTCAATGGGAATCAAGCAAAACTCTGATCTTATGCACTGCTCTTACCATGCAGAAGAGCATTAAATCAAGCTTTTAGACACTTAGATAGAGCATTTTAAATCTAAGCACTCCAGGTTTTGTGGATAGCAACCTTTGTACCAGAGTAGATATATGAAAAGTACTTGAACTACCCCAAAAGTAAGGGATTAAAGACTGCATTTTTTTCTCTTTGGGAATAGATATGTTATTCTATTGATTTAGAAACAGACTATGATTTAGAAATGTAATGATGTACAATAACTTGCAAAGGTCTGTGGTTCCCAAATGGCTATTGCTTCTTCATGACCTATATCAAAGCATCATGTTGAAATAGTGGTCTTCAAACATTGTATTAAAAGCAAAACCCAAAGGGACCACTATGTTGCACCTCTTTTTTATTTTAAGTTCCTGTCTAATGTGGTTGCATTGGATTAATAAAAAAGAAAGAAAGATATACCTTCATTTCTGATAGTTGGTATGGTATGAAAATAAACATTTTTGCAAGTTGGTTTGCATTAGTGATAATGGGCAGAGATCTGTCTTCACTGAAATTGCATCTTAACCTCAAAAACTCATGGAAGTATTAAGGATTCCAGCCACTGTACTTTATGTTCAGGAGGACAGATCAAGAGGCCTGGGGCACCACATTCAGCATTTACACCTGTGGTTCCTCACCTCTGATGCCAACAGACATCATAATAGGTGACATTTCCTTCACATGCTGACAGAACCTTATTTCACAGGTTTGACATCTGTCTCCTATATATCACAGGTGCTGAAAGGTGGATTAAGTACAGGTGCACTTAGTAATGTAAATCTCCATTTTACAAATCTAAAGCCAAGTGTTTTCATCTTAAGTCTTATAGGAGAGCCAGTTTCTGATACCTTTACTTAGGGATGTTAGACCTGCCACACCGAGGAACTGAAATTTCCGTATGCTTTAAACAGGTGCATAATTGATTTTGGTGAGCATACACTGTATCACTGCCTGGAATTGAGCCCATACATACATTTCCAGACCGGTAGCTAGGCTGATCCATTGCAGCAAAACCAACAAAGTGCCTTGATTTCTGCAGCTGCAGGTGCAATGTTGAGTACTACTCACAGACATGCGTTTAATTATTTTTTGCTTATTTTATGAGCCTGCAAACAATTGGCTTTGCTTAAGAATGGGGAAGGAGGATCACCCTTCCTCCAAGAAGTAGTTGAAATAAGCTGTTGCTTATGGCTGTGAGCAAGAGGATAAATCTCTGGTTTTGAGCAAAAGAAGTATGCCCCAGACTCTACATTATGCACATCAACAGTTCAGAGAGAAGAGGAAATGAAAAAAGAGGAAACAAGCATGTACCTTTAAATAAGCATTTATAGGTGCATTCTAATGGAAGAATATAATGTACCCTCTAGATATGTTTTTTCCCTGCAAGTCCATTGCCCCAGCCAGAATGATCAGTGGTCAGGAATGATGAGGGTTGCAGTATAAAACATCTGGAGGGCACCAGGTTGCCTAACCCTGAAATGAGACATTTGTGCCATTGATTTATCAAAAAATCAGGAGTTTGGGCACGGGCGTGGGAAGGAAATCTGTGTGCAGTTTATGGCTTCCACTGTTTGAGAAAGCATCATGTTTCTATTCCTGGCTGCTATTAATCTAAACTTATACTCCATGGGAACATGTGCTCTAGAAAGAATGTGGATTTTAGGCAGGCTGATGCTATGGTCCCATTACACCATTGGCTACTACGCCGCAGCCCCAAGGTGTTACAGTGGGGTAATAAGAAGAGGGTTCATGTGACTGCCTTCTCATGAATCATGAGTGGGGATGGAGTTGTGCCATTGGCTACACTCTCTACAGGCCAACATATGTGCTAGTCCCATATGGCACCAGCCATGCACTTGGCATCATTGTGAAAGGTCTATACATGCATACAAATGTGTGTGAATAGAGCTGCTCCACCCAAGGGAGAATTCTGATGATTTCAGGATTCCCTCTTGCATAGAGGAGCCCAATGAGCATACATCTGTGTGTATAGTCTCTTCACATTGACAGCAAATACATGGCAGTGGTGCCCCCGATGCATGCATTGGCGTGCCTGGTGGGCAAGACCCCCTCGCGCATTCCTGAATACGTGATAAGGGGGATGTGGACCAGGACTCTATTGCAAAATTTGGAGAAGTATGATATCTGAAGGACAATTATGTTTTGATCTATGTATTAGTCCAGGAGGTGCAAATTTATTTGTTTAAAAATGCTGATCAAATGAAATGCTCCTCTACACCTCCCTATAGAGCCTATGTGCAACAACCTCTCTCCCACCAGTGTTTGAGTTTTGCTGTGCTTACTCAATGTGCTTGACAAGAATGCATTTGTGTACCTCACACATACAGTGCACCTCAAAGGGTTTTTGTGTGTGTGTACATCACATGCTCATTTTGAACTGGTGATTGCACACAATCAATTAATTTATGCATTCGTAGCACATGGCATTGTTTTCTCACTATCCATTTCAAACAACTCCGATGTGGGTAAAGGGTTAATAATAAGGTTGCCGTCTTGCTCGCTTGTGTCTAGAGAACAGCTGGCTTTGTGCACCTGAATTGTTTCTGACTTTGCATGTACAGAGGCTCCTTAAAAGAAGAACTTCAGAAAGCTACAAAATCACGAAGAAAACAAGTGGAACTGTTTTTAAAAATCTAGCTGGCAGTACTGAAACCTAGATCCAGCAAAAGTCACTATGCATGGCATGAAAGTTGTCTTTGTTTGTTTGTTTATGAGCTACCAAAATTGATCCTGTATCTGTTCCCCCCCCCAACCTAACATTTAACAATAAACGCTAAAGACAGTGAAGAGAACAAGGAGACAGCGTCATATTAGCAGCAGGTATTGTGGCTGAAGACAGACAATCATTGTTTCAGAGAGCTGAAGGTGGCCAAGTTGCTTTCGCTGCATGCACTCGTCTCATTGTCATTGCTCTTCTCAAGTTTATAGGTTCCTTTTGTCTTTTTTTTTAAAAAAAATCATGCTTTCCCAACCAGAGGTGACAGTGGGATAAATGAAGCAAGGGAGTGTGCAGGCAACTGCCTTACAAGCCCCTGTCGCTGGAGTGTCTGTCTCCAGCCGCATTCTTCCTTCCAAAGGACTCATCAACGGCAAACAAAAAAAAGTCTCAACTTACCAAGCAAGGCCAGGACCTTTTCAGGTAGAGAAAAGACCAAAATGAGAAAGATTCCCTTTTCAAGCACAGCCTTCTGATTCACATCAGCGATCATCCTTTCCTCCACGAAGCAGCAAGTTTTAGGCTAGCTGTGATGTCAGTGGTTGCTGGTGGTGTTTGAGACTGAGGTTTTCTCTTAGCCTGCCTCGCTGAACCGCTGCCTGTACCTTTAGAAAATGACCTGCATTGCAAGAAGAGCAGATTTATTCCTCTCTTCCCCATCGCTTAGGGCAAATCCTCACAAGGCAGCTGACAGAACAATGGATGATACACAGTAAAAACACACCACTAGATAAAAGCATATATGGGGTGGGGGGCAGCAATAAGGTCATTTTAAAAACTTGGCAGATTTTTTTTTAAGCCCCCTTTGTTAGTCAAGCACATTTGCTGAAATGTAATGTGCTTGTTATTTATGAATGTTATAAATTAATTTCATTGTTGCTACATTTTTATACTTCCTTGTAAACGTGTTTAGAATCCCAGTAAAAGAAAAAAAGTGTGCCCATGGAGGTTATTTCTAAGAAACACAGATTACCATAATTTCTAATTATTTAAATGTATTTAAGGCATCTGTTGTTACACTTGTGACGTACAGATTTCAACTCAGTTCAGTCCAGAAAACATTCTCTTCTGGTTTTCAGAAACAACATTATTTCTGCTCTAATTCTTATGGGCACAAGAAGAGCTGTCCAACACTTCCCTTGAAGCCAGTGTGGTGTAGTGGTTAAGAGCGGTAGTCTCGTAATCTGGGGAACCAGGTTCGCGTCTCCGCTCCTCCACATGCAGCTGCTGGGTGACTTTGGGCCAGTCGCACTTCTTTGAAGTCTCTCAGCCCCACTCACCTCACAGAGTGTTTGTTGGGGGGAGGAAGGAAAAGGAGAATGTTAGCCGCTTTGAGACTCCTTAAAGGGAGTGAAAGGTGGGATATCAAATCCAAACTCTTCTTCTTCTTGTGTTGGATGCAAAATTCCAGCACCTGTAAGGCAATTTTTTCTAAGACTGACATTTTTTAAAAAGCCTATTTAGGCATTCTTGTTGGTTTGTTTGATGGTTTCTAATGTTTATGTGCTGTGTTTCCATCCTATGGCAGCTCACAAGGGTTTATAATGAAATACAAGAAAAACAACAACAATCCAGGTTGAATAAGAATAATAAACTTTCTAAAAAAGACACCATGGTAGTCTCTAATCATAGGTTAAAATGGTCTCAGAAGCAGAAAAACGTCTATACAAACAGGAAAATTGAGCACTGATGGGGGCAAGGCATGCCTCCCTCAGGAGAGTATTCCAAATTCTAGGTGTCCTAGTAAAAAGACCCTGTCTCTGATGCACATCTGACAACAGGGAAACCCACAGCATGGCCTGTTTCTGAATACCAGTTGCTGGAAACCACAGGAGGGGAGAGTGATCTTGTGCTGAAACCTTGCTTGCTAAACTAGATGGGCCATTGGCCTGGTTCAGCAGAGTCTTCTTACATTTTTTATGTTCAGTGCACAGCCACATTCTTACAGATAGTGGTGATTCTTCCGATTCTCTGGTCCTAAACCGCTTAAGGCTTTTGAGGTCAAAATTGACATCTTAGGAAAGAAATTGGTAACCACTGTCATTTGCAGACTCCGCTTAACATCCTGGCAGCCACAGTTTGGATCCGTGGAAGTGTTATGAGTTGTCTTCAAGGACAGCCCGACATGTAGCACCTTCTGGTAATGTATCTAACGAGAGACAGTTTGAGTATCTGATACTAATTAAAGAACACCCAAACTGGTAATGGCTGAGACAGACCTGAGGTTTTCCAAGCCTATTGCTACTGAGATGTGCTGGTTCTCCAAAAAGCTCTCAGCTGACTTTTAAATGTAGTAAGTGATGTAGGCCACTTTCCTTGGCTGTTGTGGAATGAAGGTGTCTATTCCTCCCCCTTGTATTCTCCCTCAGTCCCCACAATTCATTGGCAGACGGCAGAGTCTCATTGAAGACGCCAGAAAGGAGAGAGAAGCTGCTGCTGCAGCTGCGGCTGCCGCCTCTGAGGCTGCTGAATCAACTGAAACTATTGTCTTTGAAGAGAAAGATGGCATGGCCATGCTAAACCTTTTGTTCACCCTCAAAGGAGCCAAGACTTCACTGCCATCCCGTGCGCTGAAAGTATTTGAGGTGAGCTGGTGAAATTGCCTTTTTGGCTAAAGCAAAGGTGCACTTGTTTGGAGAAAAGGGACAGCCTGGTAGTTCATATATTTCTAGATACCAGACATTAGGTGGAAGGTAGGGCTAGGTCTCAGTAGAATAAGTTATTGCCCAGAGCCATATCCACTAGTACCTGGATACCCGTTTTCATGTAGGAATCAGGAGTATGTCCCTAGTCATGCAATGCAAAATGTAGACCTATTGGTATCAGAGTGCACCACTTCAGTCAGGCAACTTTGGTGGGAGGGGTCAGAAAGGTGCACCCTCATGTCTTACAGTTCTCATGGAAGAAATTTACTAGGTTGTGGCAATAACAAACTTTTATGGAGGTCAGGCCATTTCAAGTCCTAGACCCTGTTTTTAAGGTATCTGGCTACCATGCCTCTAATGGAAACCCCTGCTTGGGCTAGGTGGAAGTCCCACAATTCTTGGTTTAAACTCCTAGCTGGACATGCTCAGTGGTTCTGGAATCCCTTGAGCTAACAGCTTTCTGCTTCCTCGTCCAGCTCCAAACTCCTAGGCTGTGGATAGTGGATCTGTGGTCTTTCAGATGTTGTCGAACTTAAATTCCCATCACTCCTGACCATGCTGTGTGAGGATGATGAAAGTTGGACATCTGAGTGCCCACACATTCTTCCTTTCTGACCTTGCTGTTTTCTTGTATGTCAGTTAGGATGGGGTTTTCCTAGTACCCATTGCTCTCCTGTTCAACCAGCACTGAGTTTGCACATTTACATTCCCCCCAGTGTTGATCAAGTCAGAAACCACTTGCAATGTTGTGCAGACTGAGGAAATTGCTTTCAACCTGGGAAAAGATGGATGACTGTTGGTATGGCCAGATGTGGCCTAGAAGCTACTAGTTAGCTATCTTGGGTTTACACAGCTTGTTGTTCCACAGCAAATAATGAGATGGAGATTAAAATGAGGAGATGGTTTTATCAAATGGAACAGAAAATTAGATTACTAACAACTCTCAGTCCCTTGTGTACCTTATATAAAAATCATTGGATGAAAATATGTTATGACTCCTGCTTGATGAAGAGCTTGAAAGGTTTCAATTTCTACCAAAATCCTTAAGGCTCAGATCAGTGTGATATACAGGCAAGATGCAGTTCAAAGGCACAGCATGTACTACACATGGCTAGACAAGTGAAGATATTAAACCAACAACGACATGCCCCCTGCAACCCAATTATAAGGGGATGGCAGCTTAGCATGGCAAGTGAATCTCTTCCTTAAACTGGGCAAGCAACCTGGCACTTCTCCTGAGGGCTTAACATGCCTGTGCTGGTATCTCCATGACCTAGGGCCTAGGCAATGCAGGGGGCATAACCGCCTCCCCAGAGTCAGAGCAACAATCTCCCCTGGAGAGGCAGGAGTGGACATGGTTTCTGACAACTTTGGAGGCTGAACTGGTGGGACATTAGGCAAAGTGGGTGAACTGGAACCGGACACAGATAAGTCTGAGGACAGAGGTGGTGCTCATGCCTAGTGCCACTGAGACTGGTGGGGAGATGAAATGGGGGGACGGACACCCTTCCACTGGTACTCTCTCCAGTATCCTCTTTCTTGAGACCTCCCAATCTAGCCAGAGACTTTCCCAACCCACCCATTGAATCCCTCCCTAGGCTCCTCTGTAGGCCACTCCTCTTCTCCATCTGGGCTTGGCCAGCACCCCCATGTAGGGCCCCTGATAGTGGGGAGAACTCAGTTGCTGTTTCCACCGTTCCCATGCAAACTCAGAAATGCCACACCATAAGACAAGGTCCAATCTATCTAGATTGTTACCAAAGAATCCCAAACGTTTCCCAGCATGTGACTCCACAATTGAAATGTGTACATATGCATTAGTGAGAAGCTTATTTTACAGTCAATTTAATAATATGAATAGCACCCACATACCCCAGGGAGAGAGACGGAGAGATCAGTTTGTGAAGTTGTGTGTGAACAAAGGACGGTGTTTGCTCCAAATGGCATTCACATCCTCCAGGGGAGATTTACATGAGTTGAGAAGCTCTCTTGGTTTATCATGACTACAAGAGCTTAAGAAAAGCAAACACCAATGCAGGCCAGACTTCCACTGTGAGAGATTCATTTCCCCGATCCCTCCGGCACTGCAGGTACAAGATATGAAAACAGACGGGTGTAATGACATTTGCCTCATGATGAAACAGGCTGTGGGGAGGCTGGTTTTCCTCTCCTGTTTTACATTACATACAACTCAAGCAAAGGTAATGCAATCAGATCTGTCAGATTAATGCTAAGGTATTGATTGTCATGGAGGGGCAACGTCCCAGGGATGCATTAGAAAACAAGCGGCTAAATTGAATTTGTCAGTGACATTGCCTTCTGTTCCCTTTTCGTCTATCTAGCTCTGACTGAGTAAAAAATTCAGCCATTCCCCTCCTGAATCTCTAAGGGGAAACTGGGTTAATTCTTTAAGAAGTGAAAATTATGCACCAGCTTTCAGCAAAGAAGGAAAAGATCTCAGATGCTATCAGTGACTTTATATTAAAGCCCACCAAGAGGGACCCTTAAAAAAAATAATTCTGGATGTATCTCTTGTGTGTGGTTCTGGTTGATAGCTCTTAGGAGTCTGCTTAAAAAACAAAAAAAGAAGAAGATTTGGCAAGCCTGAAATCTGCCCCTCCCTGAATTAGGCAATAATGGATTGTGACATACATTGAATTGCGCTGGAGAATTGCTAAGTGGGGCAAATGATACTTAAGCCACACGCCATCCTCCACTTTCTCTCCACAACCCCCCCACCATGTTGCTTACAAATCAGCGGAAATTGGTTCCATGGGGTTGTTTCAGTGGTGGCTTTGGGACCTTCCCAACATGTTTCTCCGGGAAATCGCCCCAGTGCAGTGGTGACTTGCAGAAAAGTGGTATCTAAGGATTGAAGACATAAGATGGAGGAAGAATATCTTGTTCAAGCCATGATTTCACACTTCTTCATGCATTTAATATTCAGCACCTTGGCCAGAGCATAGCACAGAAGCTGATCAAAACCTGCATGGAAAAATTGGCTTCTTTCTTGGAATTATACAGGCTGCCATTTGCCTTGAAGATAGTCTGGTTCTAATGTTCTGTGGCTGTTCCATTGCTGTTTTAAGTTAATAAATTAAAAATAGTATCTGTGTAATGCTTGTTCTCAAAGGCTATTCCCATGCTTTCTCTCAAAACTTACAGGAACCCTGTAAGCCAGGGGTGGCTAACCCCCAGATCAAGTCATCTAAAAACAGGCATCTCCCGTCTAGATGAAAAGAGGCTAACTGGGGGAAAGAGTCTTCTGAACTTCTTTCTCTCACTTGAAAATAGCCTGTTTACTGAAGTTGTTGCTCCTTTTATAATGTAGTGCTTAACTGATTTTTAAAATGGTGGGTGGGAAGTCTCCTTGCTGTTTTATTTTAATATATTGTTTTTCCTTCCCTGTCTCTCTAAAGACATTTGAAGCCAAAATTCATCACCTAGAAACGAGGCACAGTAAGAAACCGCGAGAGGGCTCTGTTGATCTGGAATACTTTGTGCGATGTGAACTCCACAGCTCTGATCTGAGCACCCTCATCAGTTCTCTCAAAAGGGTTTCAGAAGATGTTAGGAGCACAAAAGAAGACAAGTGTAAGGAACCTGTAAGCTTGGTTAACAAAGCACGAGGGAAGGAATTTTTCATATATGACTGCTATGGAGATAATCTCTAGAAAGGAAAAATGTCAAGGGCAAAACCTTTCTCCCTGCATGTGTTTTTTAGACTGGTATTAGAAATAACTGGTGTATGCACCTTTGTATGTTGCAAATCTGTTAGAGGCAAGATAAGGCAGCATCATGGTATATTTCTGACAATCTTACAGCACAAGTCTATGTGTGTTTACTCAAAAGTAAGTACCACCGTATTCAGTGGTGTTTATTCCAAGGTGTATGTATATACAGGATTGAAGCCTTAGTTTAATATAATAGATCAACCAACCAACCAACCAACCAACCAACCAACCAACCGGCCCATCCATTCAGCCATTTGGCTATCCAAATAACAGATAATTACTTGAAATTCTGTGTAACAATTTGAATAGTTTAGCTACTATTAGAATAGTTTATCTGGGAAAGGAAGGAAATTACCGGTACATACTGTACTTCCATTAGAAACCCCTTTTCTTATTCTGTCCTATAACTGGCTATTTTCTCTCTCACTTCTCTCCTCTTCCTCACCCTTTTGGATTTTAGTTCATTGGTTTCCAAGAAAAATCTCTGAGCTCGATAGATGTCACCATTTGGTCACCAAATTTGACCCTGATTTGGATCTGGATCACCCGGTGAGTGAATAACTCTTCTTTCCCAAATCCTCCTCCACATTTCCTCACTGCCTGAACTCATGTTAGCTGTCTCCTCATGGGATAGCTTGGCTTGCTATGCTTCTGAATAGACTGAATAGAAATGCAAGCTGTCATTGCATTTCTAGCAAAACGACTGCAGGCTTGCAGGTACATCTCATGCTGATGTTTAAAGCTCTAATAAATTAATTTGCACTCCAGCTTCTCAAGAAGATGAGAAGAATACATTGAGTTGACTTGGAAGTGCCTATTCACTCTAAGTAGACAACATGGGAGGTGCTTTTTTATTTGTTTAAACAAAGTAGCAGCTGATGGTGAACGCACCCTTGCCTGTCTAACCGTGAACAACCTGTAATAAAAATTGTCCATTGTCAATATTACAACTGTTCAGTGCAAAAATGTGAGGTAACATTCTTGCTCTGTTCTTTCCTCCAAGGGATTCTCTGATCAAGTATATCGGCAACGAAGGAAAATGATAGCAGAAATTGCCTTCCACTATAAGCAGTAAGACTTGCTGCCTTGCATAGCCTCACCTGCTGAGACCTCCATGCATACACTTATTTATCTCTTTGCTCTCCATGTTCTGCCCTTCCACACTCTTGGTTTTTCCCTTCCACTCTCCTGCTTCATGTTTTCAGTGCTTCATGGCTGCCAGTTCCATAGAGCTTTTGCAGTCATCCCTGAAAGGTCCATTGCAACACAGATAAGCAACCCAAGAAGTGAATTGTTGAACGCAACCATTTCAGTGATACATATGGTGTCTTCTTTGCTCCATGTCTGGGATGTGCTGCAGAAACTATGCATTCTTGGCATTTGTTACGCATTCAGACTCAAATTAAACGATTGTAATGAGAGCCAAGAAAACCCAGGCTTCAGGACTGGTTTCTCTTCTCAAACCCAAGAGGGATCAAGGATAGAATGGCAATTTAAATCTTCTTTTCTTATTGTATTTGCAAAAAATAAAAATAAAAATAAAATAATCAGCTGCCCATTATTTGTATTTGTGATTTAGAATTGAAATGTGTTTTCTACATTCATTTTATCTTTTTATACAACATACCACCTATATTAATGTTTCCTCCATGTGGTACGTAATGTGGCAACACCTAGAGCCACTCTGGAGACCTTTCACAAGGCAGAAGGCCACCACATTGTCCTTGGCCTAAATCTTCCTAATAACTTGGAGATGGCCAAAAAACAGACCCTGATGATCAGTGGTACGAAACAGCTGCTTGAAATGAGATGAGTTTACATTTGCATTTGAAATTATGATAAAGCAAGGATGCTTTTGTAACAATCTTTACTTTCAAAAGGAGCCAGTATTTGAAATGGGGATATTGGACAGGGAGGACATATGCTAGAGAGTGAAGGGAGCTTTATTTTGCTAAGGCTTTTCGACAAGTTTGTTATTTTTCTCATATTTATATTATATCTGAAATGACAGCAAAGGGGGGGTTCTTTTTTTTTAGGTTAGCTGATTCCCTTGATGATTGTACACTTTCTCCTCAACAGTATGGCATAGCGTACTTGTTTGAGCTTCCTGATTACAATTATATTAATACCAGTATTTCCAGCATTACTTCTAAGTGGGGCAACAGCTACCCTTTTATTGTCATTATTTATCACCCTTCAACAATCAAGGTATTTTAGGTGTGCTACAGGGTACTGAATTAACTTGTGCATCCTTAAGTGCCCCTTATAATCTATGGGGCAAGCTAATCTGCATCATGTGTGTTGGTGTTAGTCTGCCTCAGTGTCCTACAACCCTACTGTTCCTTACTATTCTATCTATACTCATACCTAGAAGTCTTACATTTCTCTGCAACCACAAGAGCTACTTGTTTTTTAAAGGAACTTTCAAAAGTCACAAAGATTTAGTCCGCAGATTTCTCTTCCTCATAGACAGGGCCTGGTCTGCATTGTAAATTTGCACCGCCTTGTGTCTGGGCTGGGACTTTGTGTGTTAGCTTTGTGGTTTTAAATATTGTCTATCCTGTTCAAACCTTGCTTTGTCTCTTGGACATGCATTAGCTATATACTCCATCTCAGTTATAAGTGGGCAAAGGTTTAACTTAAACATTATTGGCCCCTAATATTTGGTGCATTGCTATTTTGTCTCCCTTCTCCTTGTTCTTTTTCTTACTACTACCTATTATAGTGGCGACCCAATTCCTCGAGTGGAATACACAGCAGAAGAGATTACCACCTGGTGAGTATGAATGGACCTTTCCTAGCTTCTGCCAGACGCAGCACAAATCAGTAGACTCCCAGCTATATACCCCACAATTTCCATTGGGTCTTTAGGTGGCAAGGTTCACTCACAGTCACTCTGGGTTAGTAAAACTGGTATTTTGCAGCTAAAATGGTTTTTAACAGCTAGCTAATGGTGCAGGGAGGGGAGGTGGGTCAGGTAAATTCAACGTATCTTCAGAACAAGCTTTCTGCTGATGCTTTATTTAATAATAGGCACTTCAGGATGCATCCCTTCATCATGATCACTCACAAGATACTTCAGAAACATAAGAACTATTCTCAGAAACTTGTGGCTCTCAGTTCAATATCAGTAAGAGCCATATGGGAAAATTTCTGAGCTGTGTATTGGTTTGAGTTTTGCAGAGCACGGTCCCAAATCCAGATACTCCTCCATGTCTTTCTTCTATCATGATGGCTATCTATTACCTACTACAGGATTGGAGGCAGCATGCCTCTGACTATGTTGCTGGGAATCACAAGTGTGGAGAGTTATATGTCCTCCCTTTTGTGCTTGTGGACTCCTCATTGGCCATGGTGGGAGAAGGATGGCAGACCAGATGTGCCTTTGGGCTGACCCAGCAGGGCTTTTCTTACGTTCTTATCGTTCTGAAGGAAGGAGGTGTACAGCACACTGAAGAGTCTCTATCCCACTCATGCCTGCAAAGAACATCTGGATGCCTTCCATTTATTGGAGAGATACAGTGGTTACAGTGAAAATAATATCCCTCAGCTGGAGGATGTCTCCCAGTTCCTAAAAGGTGAGGACTCAGATAAGTTTCGCTTCTGGAGTGAAAAGGTTTTGCTCTTCACAATGATGAAGAGGGTTGGGAAAACCCTTTTCAGCTGGAGCTGAAACCTTTTGCAACCTGCAAGCATTCTGAAAAGGTTTGTTCAAGGAAAGGCTATAAACATGAGCACCGCTTATTATCCAGGGGCAAAGGCTACAAAATGATGCAATGCATGGCTGTTTAAAGCATAATATCACTTGCATTAATTCATACAAACCTGGGGCTATAACTCAGCAGTAGAGCATGTGTTTTGCACACAGAAGACGTTCCACTCTGGCATGTCCATTTTAATTTTGGGGCAGAATTTGCAGGTAAGGTCACACCTTCTTGTTCAGAAGCCTAGGCCCAGAGCTCTCCCTCTATACCCTCCAGGCATTTTCCTTAAGCCACTGTTCTCTCTCCACACACTCTGGCATTTTTTCTTATATAGTAAGCTTAGATACATAATTTTGTTTCTGCTTGATGATTGTCTGCAGCATTTTATAAAAGTGTCTGTTCCAGAGAAGTACCACTTCATGGCTTGGGGGCCCTGCCTCAAGTAGATCCTGCTTCACCTCAGGCAAGCCCCAGATCCCCCCATGGCACCCTGCCTTTGTTGTTGTTTATTCGTTGTTGTTTATTCATTTAGTCGTGTCCGACTCTTCGTGACCCCATGGACCAGAGCATGCCAGGCACTCCTGTCTTCCACCGCCTCCCACAGTTTGGTCAGACTCATGTTTGTAGCTTCGAGAACACTGTCCAACCATCTTGTCCTCTGTCGTCCCCTTCTCCTTGTGCCCTCAATCTTTCCCAACATCAGGGTCTTTTCCAGGGAGTCTTCTCTTCTCATGAGGTGGCCAAAGTATTGGAGCCTCAGCTTCACGATCTATCCTTCCAGTGAGCACTCAGGGCTAATTTCCTTAAGAATGGATGCGTTTGATCTTCTTGCAGTCCATGGGACTCTCAAGAGTTTCCTCCAGCACCATAATTCAAAAGCATCAATTCTTTGGCGATCAGCCTTCTTTATGGTCCAGCTCTCACTTCCATACATCACCCTGCCTTGGCTCAAGGCAAATCCCAAGTTCATAAAATAATCTTTAAAATGGATTGGGATCACTTATGAATACTGTCAATCAGTATATGCAGACCATCACACACAGAAAGGACTTGAAAGTGGACTCAAGGGAATTCCACATGACTATAAGTATTCTTTTTTTTTTTTAAAAAAAGGAAAACTTCACCTTAATACTGTATGAAATACATCAGAATGTACTTATACTGTAAGCACAAATCTGCAAAACATTAAAAAGCGTAATGGAAGAGTCCTGTGCAAATAGAAATATAATTTTGGCCAGATTTCTAAAATGAACAATTGCAACTAAAGCATATGCATGGCAGTTTCTGTGGTGACTGATATCTTAGATCTTGATTTGTTTTTATTATTTATTATTAAAAATAATATCCCACCCTGCGTCCGACTCAGGGTAGAAAGCATGCAAATGATAAACACCTAAAAACTTCTAAAAAATGATTCTAGTACCGATGCAGGCTGGGAAAGATCTCTACTTGTTCTTCTAACACAAAGTTACACATACACAATTGTTTATGAGCATTATTTACTTTTTTTGAGTTCCTGTACAGCCAGCAGTACAACTCTATAAAATGTGGCTCAGATGCTATACTCAGCTACAAAGACTGGTTTGAACTATTTCAGAGAGAACTGGGTTCCAGCTCCGACCTGTAGCTGGTCTCCTGTCTGCTCGGGACTTCCTAGCCAGCTTGGCCTTCAGGGTGTTTCAATGTACACAGTACATCCGCCATGCCTCTTCTCCCATGCACTCTCCAGAGCCGTGAGTACTAGCTCTTGAATTGCCTCAAATCTATCATCATACTGTATTCTTGGACTTGGACGTGTTAATGTCTGGCTTGCTGCTTCAGACTCGGCTGTTAACTAAGTGTCTTTCTTCCAATGCCAGGGACTGCTGCCATGAGCTTCTGGGGCATGTACCAATGTTGGCAGACAAAACGTTTGCACAGTTCTCCCAGGTGAGCAAGAGGTGAAATGCCTTGTGTTTTAAGCACAGCCTATGCTTGACTAGATAGTGCATGGTATTGATTTCAGAGGGGACATGCATAGCATTGCACTGTAAATCGAACAAGTTGGGTGATCAACTAAAGCCATCCATGATATACATGAGATTATTCCTTTTGCTCCTAGGACATTGGACTTGCATCTTTGGGAGCAACGGATGAGGAGATTGAAAAACTTGCGACAGTAAGACCCTAATTCTGGATTTATTTATTTAAAAAAACCCTTTGCTTTCACTTTATCCAAATCTAGCTATATTTTTCTTAGTTATAACTGTATGAAATGCCCAGTGAAGGGGAAAGGTTCCATGTGGCCAGCTAATCTTGAATATGTATGAATTTAAAAGAATCATTACAGATTTGAATAACCAACTTCCTTTGGGATCCCGTTTTTATTTCCCAGCTTTACTGGTTCACAGTGGAGTTTGGCCTCTGCAAACAGAATGGAATCATCAAAGCCTATGGAGCTGGACTCCTCTCCTCTTACGGGGAGCTAGTTGTAAGTGCTCACCTATTCCACCTAGCTAAATTGAAGCACATGGCTACCACTTAGCTTGTGCTCTCCTGTTCCATTGATTAGTCTTTTGTCACAGTAGTCACCTTAGGGGTTTTCCTGCAAGAAACTTTGGCATTTCCCTCCCTTCATTCAGCACTCTTTGTCGGATGAACCAGAGCTAAGGGACTTTGACCCTGATTCTACTGCTGTGCAGCCCTATCAAGATCAAGCCTACCAACCAGTCTATTTTGTATCAGAGAGCTTCAGTGATGCCAAAGCAAAACTCAGGTAAGATATACCGTACTGTTCCGTCCATAAGATGACCCCATGTATATTTTGGGGGACTCAAATTTAAGAAAATGGGGGGAGATGATGATGAGAATAATAATAATAATAATAATAATAATAATAATAATAATAATAATTTATTTATACCTTGCCCATCTGGCTGGGTTCCCCCAGCCACTCTGGGCTGCTTCCAACAAAATATTAAAATACAATAGTGCTTCATATTTTAAAAGCTTCCCTAAACAGGGCTGCCTTCAGATGTCTCCTAAAAGTCTGGTACTTGTTTTGAGATGGCCCAGAGTTGATGAGGTTTTTGGGGGAGGATTGCCCAAGATTGTTGTTTTGTTTTTTGGGGCGGGTATGCCCAGGGTTGAAGAGCTTTTTTTGGGGGGGGGGGGATGCAGAAAATCACTAACCCGACTAACAAACACTGACAATCGCTCGCGTTGCCAAAAACAACATGCACCTGCTCACTCACCAGCAGCAGACACCAATAGCATGCCTGATTGTCGAAGTGGCAGCCAATCCAAAGCAACCCTTGACACAGCCACCAATCACACACAAAATCACCGCTGATGAGCTCCTGCTCCCGGCTGCAACCAATCACCCGTCACCCCCACGCACTATCCGTGTATAAGATGAGCCCTGTTTTTTCACATGATTTTTTTTTAAAAGATATTTATTAAAGTTTTACAAAAAGAAAAAAAGTTACAGAGTAAAAAAGAGGAAAAGGGAAAAATACAAAGAGTACAAAAATACATAGAAAAAAAATATGCAAAATACAGAAAAAATAAATAGAAAATAGTTAAAAACAAATCAATCTTTTCATATCTTAGATTTCATTTACTTATTTCCCCGACCTCCTCACACCTCCCTTTTTTGTATTCCCGTTCACATGGTTAATTCAGCAAATCCTTACCCTCTTTATTTTTATCTTAATTCTATATCTCAACATATTATAACTTTGTATTTTCATCCGTTATCAATCCATTTTTACATATTCTTATTAACCTTGTTGCTAAGGCCGCTTGATTTCAATCCGACATCATTTTAACATTCATTAATTTTACAATGTTTCTGCAAATAGTCTTTAAATTTCTTCCAATCTTCTTCCACCGACTCTTCTCCCTGGTCTCGGATTCTGCCAGTCATTTCCGCCAGTTCCATATAGTCTATCACTTTCATCTGCCATTCTTCCAGGGTGGGTAAATCTTGTGTCTTCCAATACTTCGCGATGAGTATTCTTGCTGCTGTTGTAGCGTACATAAAGAAAGTTCTATCCTTCTTTGGCACCAATTGGCCGACCATGCCCAGGAGAAAGGCCTCTGGTTTCTTCAGGAAGGTATATTTAAATACCTTTTTCATTTCATTATAGATCATCTCCCAGAAAGCCTTAATCCTTGGGCACGTCCACCAAAGGTGAAAGAATGTACCTTCATTCTCTTTACATTTCCAACATTTATTATCAGACAAATGATAGATTTTTGCAAGCTTGACTGGTGTCATGTACCACCTGTATATCATTTTCATAATATTCTCTCTTAAGGCATTACATGCCGTGAATTTCATACCTGTGGTCCACAACTGTTCCCAGTCAGCCATCATTATGTTATGTCCAACATCTTGTGCCCATTTAATCATAGCAGATTTAACCGTTTCATCCTGCGTATTCCATTTCAACAGCAAGTTATACATTCTTGATAGTATCTTAGTTTTGGGATCTAACAGTTCTGTTTCCAATTTTGGAGGTTTTCACATGATTTTTGAGTAAAAAAACCCTTGTCTTATACACAGAAAAGTACGGTAGTTGGGTAGATCAGCAGGGCAATGGAGATCTATATGTGGTAAAGGGTAAAGGGACCACTGACCATTAGGTCCAGTTGTGACCAACTCTGGGGTTGCAGCGCTCATCTCACTTTATTGGCCGAAGGAGCCGGCGTACAGCTTCCGGGTCATGTGTCCAGCATGACTAAGCCGCTTCTGGCGAGCCAGAGCAGCGCACGGAAATGCCATTTACCTTCCCGCCGGAGCGGTACCTATTTATCTACTTGCACTTTGATGTGCTTTCCAACTGCTAGGTTGGCAGGAGCAGGGACCGAGCAACGGGAGCTCACACCATCGCGGGGATTCGAATTGCTGACCTTCTGGTCGGCAAGTCCTAGGCTCTGTGGTTTAACCCACAGCGCCACCCGCGCCCCTTCTATATGTGGTAGCCGTACCTATATTCTACTGTTCTTGCTGCATGCCATTTATGATACATTTTCTTCTTAATCCAATATATGAACATTTTCTCTCACTCACTCACTCACTCACTCTTCTGGAAAAGCGTTAAAACTAAGGTTTTGCTGTGGATTGTTAAAAGGAAGTACAGATAAGTTACAGTGCAATCTCGGCATAGGTTTGATGCATATATTCGGGGGGTACGTGCATTTAAAAAATGCATCATATTAGGGAAAATTGCATATAAAAATTAGGAGAAATTTGCTGGTGGCTTTTAAAAAGTTGGCAAATTGCTGCAGATTGTAGGAAAAAAGTTAAGAATGGGAAAATGAGAAATTTAGATAACTATTGCAGTCCCCAACTGCAATATGTCAAAACAGGAACAAAACAAAACACTTCCAGGGAACTGATAATTCATTTGGGCACCGTAGCATTTAACCAGAGTTTGGAGGAAAGTAGCTCAGAGAAAAAGGTGAGCACAATTACCGTCTATGAAGGGCAGGGGAGCCACTTGACTATATCAACAGGGAAGTGAGGGTGCAGGAAAAGTTGAGCACCCTCCCTGCTACTTCTCCGTTTTCAATTGCCCCCTCTAGGAATCATTTCTCTCTTCCAAAAGGACTATTGGGGCACACTTACACACACTTTACTGCAATGAACTTTCATTTTTGGCTAGGTGCTACAGCCTTAGACAGACCTTTATCAGCTAACTCTCACAATCTGACTCTTCTTAAGAGGATATTTACAGCTATAATACATGAAGAAAATCTGTTCAGAGGTCAAAGGCACTAATACAGCAAGAGCCAAAAGTAAGGGGAAAGGTGGGCATTTTCTGTCACTTCCCCCCCAACTGAATGTCATTGAAAACACCACTAGAGGGTGTTCTAACACAAGCAATAGCAAATTCTTACAGCAAAACCTCAAATTCCTTTGTTGCAGCATGAGCTGTCCTGAGCCTGACCATACTTCATTGACTAAATCACATTCGTTCATGCACAAGGCATAAATTTCCATAATACTCAGACGTATGCTCCTGGTACCTACCTCCAGTGGCTATTCTACTTTGCATTCTATTAACATACTTATTATTATTTGTTACATTTCTATCCCATTGTTTCCTTCACCATAGAACTCAAAAGAGTGAGATTCCTGGGTGGCCTCCCATCCAAGGTCTGGTCAGACTCAGACCTGCTTAGCAAATCTTCTGAAGAAGTTACCTTTAGACCATGCTCCAGGAATTACTTTGCTACGGTCCCCTGTAATGAATTAGCACAGGATAAACCAGCCTTTGGCATCCTTGTGCCCTGCAGATGTTTTGGAGTGCAGCTCTCATTATTGTCCTGCTTTTCATACAGATGGTCCCAGGTTGAATCCTGGACATCACTAGACAGGACTGGGAAGGATTCCTGCCTGAAATTCTGGAGAGCTGCCTCCAATCAGCAGTGACAATATTGTGAGCTAGGTGGACCAATGGTCTGATACGGCCACAGCAACTTCCTACATTCCTAGACATTGTTTGAAATGTTGAGTATATCAGGGATGGAGGACCTGAAGCCCTAGAATGGCATACCACTCAACCGTCCCAATAAAAGCAGGACATGCTGCTTTTTTTTGCACAAGAACATGGTGGCCATTTTGGGCACCATTATCTGTCCCCCCTAAAAGAACTTTTTCACAGCTGCGATCTTGCGTGGCACTCCAAAATGCACATATGAGAGCATGCCACCCCCAAAATCGCCTTTTTTCAGGGCCGCAATCTTGCACGGGTTACATGACTCACAGGAAAGTATGGCCCCAGAAGACAGTGTCCTGGATTTTTGCCTTGACGTGTTGGAGGTTGTGTGATGGTCATTGGAGTTCAATGACATCTGGAGGGCCAGGAGGTTCTTCATTTCTGCAGCACGTCTTCCTTTGCCCTCTCTGTCCTTGAGCTCTAGCCTATCGAGGCCAGCCTCCTTTCATCTCTGTACTCTCTCTTGCAGGGCCTATGCAGCGCACATCAAGCGTCCCTTTTCTGTCAAGTATGACCCGTACACATACAGCATTGAGCTTCTGGACAACCCGCAGAAGATTCGCCACTCCCTGGAGATTGTGCGCGATGAGCTTCACTCATTAATTGACGCACTCAATGTTATCAGCTAACACACGCGTTTATTTTGACCCGTTCCCTCCTTCATGCCAATGCCTGTTCCTGCAGCTGCCAAACTGGCTTCCTGCAGTGACTACCCGCCACTGCATCATTTGGGCCGCCACGGTTTCTTTGTGTTGCTATCCATTGCCAGAGTAACGACAATGGTTTGTGTTTGCTGCCCATATGTTGGACGAGAGAGGCATACTTATTATTTAATGGCAAGCTAGATTGAAGAAAAATAAAAGGAAATGGAATGTATCAATATATTGTATCAAACTAATCAGACTCGAAGCAGGCCCACTGGGGGGAAAATGAATAACTTCAGCCCAATGATTTCAGAGTGGGCCTATTCTGAGGATGACTTAGATGGATGCAAGCCAAACAGGACTTACTTCCTGATAAAATTGCTTAGCGTGGCCTTTTAATTTTGCTAGAGAAGAATAAAAATATAATAAGAAGGAAGCAAAAACAATAAGAGGAGAGGTATTGCTTTAACGGAATACCTACTCAAATAGAATTATTGGGTCACTGGAGAAGGTTTCACTGAAACATGTCTGGCAATTTACTAGTTGCTAAAGTTCCCTACATTTCTTAGTACAAATCTGAGGCCTCTTCCCCCTGGCCCGCTTACACTTCTGCTACATACCCAGTGACTTCAGAGAAAAACATTCCTTTATAGACTCGCCATTATGCCAAGAAGCCTTCTAACCACATTTTTAAAGTGAATTCAGAGTCCAGACAGGTAGAAACCTCAGTATGCTGACCCAAAATCCAATTCTGATGGTAGGATGAGCTCTTAAAATTTCAATACGATGACTCAAAACAAGATCCAGAGCGCGACCACTATCTGATTGGAACAACCTTCTCACTGATCCTAATCCCTCAGTCTGGGAAAAATTCCTTCAGGATGAAACAAACCTTTGACTGGCTGCAATGCTCTGTACTCCAAATAGAGGCAAATCCTCTGGAACTCAGCGTAGCCTATTGCCATGCAAGTGTGTGGAGAACTGAAGCATTGCCTTCTTAGTCCAAAATGGAATCCCACACCTAGCAGCAAATGCTACCATCTCCTAGGGATAACTGTATCGGTCCTGGTCAAGGTAGCAGGAAACAGGTAATGGAGAAGGACCCTCCATTTTGAATGCGCCGATCTATTTCTGTGGAGCACTCCTTAGCAAGGTGATAGATATGTCTCCCATCTCTGGTCATGGGAAATTGATAGGTGTATCAAATAGCCTCCTTCCTTCTCTAGGCTTGGTAGGGAAATGCTCTGTCTTTGTCAGGATAGAAAGGAGTATCCTTCGTGGAAAAGCACCATGAAATTATTGCCAAAGTGGAAGAACATCTGGAGAGCATCAGCTACAATGGAAACATAGGTAGATGATAACGCAAGGACACAATACTCAAATGTATTGCTACTAGCTCTCCAGCCGGTGTAAGGTCTAATAGTTGCCATACATTGTTCCTACATTCAGGCACAATGCTGAAGATGTTTGAATCAAAACAGCCTGGAGAGATGGAGAGAGAATCAGGTCACTGGGTCAAACGCTTCATGTTTGAGAATGAGACTCAAGAGAAGAAACACACGAAACCTCCCTTTTCTGTCTGGCTTTGGTTTGCTCATGGTATTTGTGTGCACTAAAGCCTCAAGGAATGGATCTCACTGCTATTGCTCCTGCTGTGTGGGTGGATCTGTCTGTCTTGCTGCATAATGAAGATATTTATTTCTCAGTTTTGAGTCATGCTGCTGCTGAGAGGCTAGGTTTATTCATAATAAAGTTATATTTCTGGTCTAGCATCTTGGGTTTGTCTTCGTGATCTCTCCCCTTTTAAACCATGGCACTCTGCTTCCAGCCCTCTCTGTCTTGTTCCCTTATCACACATGCTGTATATCCAGTGAGTTCCTGTGAAAAGTTCAAGTGGTTTCCTGGTCATGCATTTTAGAGGGATATAGCAGGTGCTGACAGTATTGTAGATTGGTGCCAGTTATGTGACTTCCAGACGGTTATATCACAACAGCTTAGCAGGGCGAGCAGGGAGGAAAGTGGCAAGAAAGTAAGACTTCAGTCCTGTTGTAGCTTTCACAGGGTGGAAAAAAACTCCCTCAAAGGAAGGTTCCACAGAACCGATGTACTGCCTTCCCCTTCATCTCTCCCACAGCAAATGTGCCCAGTGTAGGGACATGATGAACCCATGTTAATAGACGAGAATTGACCTAGACCTTCATCCAGAACTTTCAGCAACAGAAGTTGATCCTTGAAAATAAGAGCGCTTTCCATACTTTTCCCTGGTGTGTGTGTGTGTTTTGCACTACACTTTTTTTTAAAGGTCAGCAATGTTGAGTCATTATTCTGGGGGGACAGAAGCAGAAGTGTCAGATTCTTATGAATTTTCTTTAAAAGAGATAAAGAAAGCAGGGAAGGTTAAAACACAGACAGGCAGGGAATTCCAAAGAGTAGATGCTGCCACACTAGAAGATCAATTTTTTGCAAGTGTGGAATGAGTATTGTGTGGCCTTTGTAACGGGGTCAGTTCAGTAGATTGAATTGGTTGAGTGGGCACATATGGGGTAAGATGAACCAGCCGATTAACAGGTTCCAAGCCATTAAGGGCTTTATATACCAGCAGTAACACCTTAAAGTTAGCCCATAACAAATTAGCACACAGTGCAGAGTTCTGAACAGAGGCGCTATAGGCTGACAGATTCTCACTCCTGCTGGCAACTGTGCTGCTACATTCTGCACTAACTGCAGCTCCCAGATCAAGTGCAAAGGAGGCAACACATAGAACCCCGCCTTTCTCAAAACATTCCTTTTTAACTCTGATTCTTGCTTCAGAACAGAAGAAGAGCCTTGCTGGATCGGGCTAAAGGCCCATCTAACCCAATATCCCATTCCCACAGTGGCCAACCAGATGCCTAAGGAAAGCCCACAAGGAGGACCTGAGTAAAACAACCCTCTTCCCACATATGATTCCTAGCAACTGGAATTCAGAGGCATATAGTCTCTGACAGTGGTGGTAGAAAATAGTCATCATTACTACAGGTAGCCTCAGATATGTCTAATCCTCTTTTAAAGGCACCCAATGTGGTGGCCACCAACAGGAGCTGCTCATCAGGTGGAGTAGAAATGCTACTATAGCTTCCCAGTAGGTGGGTCACTGTTGCTTATGGGGAGGAAGAGGAGGAGGGGCAAAGCAGTGGGAAGGACTGTGTGGTGAAATACATTGACTCTGGATTGGTTCCTCTGATGCATGTGCACTGTGCTAGCCACCTTGCTGCTTCAGCTCTCCCCTCTTCCACCAAGTAAGCTTCTTGTGGGAGTGAATTCTATAGTTTAACTATACAGTGTGTGAAGAAGTGCTTTGTTTTTGTCAGTTCAGAATCTTCTATCAACCAGCTTCATTGGATGTCGTCTGAGTTCTAGTGTTATAAGAAAACTTTTCTCTATCACTTCCTCCAGGCCATGCATAATTTTATACAGTGCTTTTTTCTATAAAAATGTTTAGGGGTACTCTCATTTTGACTCAAGAAAATCACCATTTTACCGTTCAAATCGGGAAAAATAAATACACTGCTTCACACATTAAATGCTCGCTTCCGTCTGAGACTCAGGAAACATTGTGAAAGGAAATGAGGCCAACATTGGAGGTGGTAACAACAAAACTGACCCATCACCATGTTTGATTCCAACTCCTACTTCACACATTAAACATTCGCTTCTGTCTGAGACTCAGGAAACACCATGACAGGAAATGAGGCCGCCATCAGGGGTAGCAACGGAACTGACTATTCACTGTGCTGGAGAAGAATCTATCTATATCTATCTATCTATTATCTATCTATCTATCTATCTATCTATCTATCTATATTTGTTTCTTATCCCATTAGATGCACAAAATGTTTAGGAATATGCATTTCCCTGAATTCCCTCAGAAAAAAGCACTGATTTTATATATTTCTATCATGTCTCCTCATACTTGTCTTTTCACTAAACTAGAAAGTCCCAAATGTTGTAAGCTTTCCTCACAGAGGAGTTGCTCCAGCCCTTTGATCATTTTTGTTGCCCCTTTCTGGAGATTTCCCAGCTTTCTTCTTCCGCTTTGCCCTTTCACCTCCTTTTTTCTCTGGACTGGGTATCTTGTTCAGCATCACATGCTGGGGAGCAATCCACCTGCCTGGGCTTTTGATCTTTCAATGGCTGCCTAGCATAAGAGGCAGCACCTACAGATTTGCAACAAAATCCAAAAGAGCACAATCAAATTAGAAGCTTAAGTGCAGCAGCATCCCAAAATATACTTACTTGGATGTAAAGTATTGAAATTGGTGTGATTTACTTCTGGGTAAATGTCTTTGTGACCAGAGCACTGATAGAAACTGGGATTTCACCCAAATATTGTCTAGATGTCTCGGAAGCGGTGGAAGATTACAACAGCAGGAGACCTGGGGCATGTTGTTCAAGGCTAACTCCTGGGCACCCTTCCCTTCATTCTTATCAATGTTTAGAAGCAAGACTTGAAGCTGCTTGTTGGCGCTTTGAAGTGGTCAGTCCACAGTATTTTAAATCCTTAGCACTGTTACCTCTGACCCAGAGGGAGAGAGAGTTCAAGGTGGAAGCAGCACCAGAAAACCAACATTGGAGGGTAAAGGCCATGCAGGGGTGAAGGCATTTTCAAAGAGACAGCCTGCTCAGCCACAATATCTCTGTGTAGTAGTCAGCTATTTTTTACCCAGAGCAGACCTATTGAAACTAATGGACTAAACTCAATCACATCCATGAATTTCAGTGGGTCTACTCTGACTAATACTCTACATTTTCCGGCATGTGTAAGCTAAAACAAGGGTATCAATTAACAAATGCCCTGTATGCCATGAGGCAAGTGATGGCAGGCAGAAGGGAAGAAGAAGGAAATGTTCAGATTAGAGCTACCCTGATGTAACATGGAACACACTATGATGTAAGGGACAAGACTTTCCAGGGGCGCTTCCTGAGAACTTGCTGCTTGAGGATTCATCATACAATGTCACTGGTGACTGAGAATTCATTCTTATTTGTTTGCATGGCACTTACGGTATATGGCATTGTGTCAAGTCGTCCCACCATTTTTCTAGAAAAATAGCTGCCAGAACTCACTATGAATGCCTTCCTTGTTCTCTTATAATGGCAGCCACCTGAGAGGTCCCGGAACTGAGTTCTGGTGAGCTCTGGATGAAAAAGTGTCCTGCGGCTTCCAGGTGGAAAAATCAAAATTAGAAACAGAACTGTTAGAACCCAAAACTAAGACTTTGTCAAAGATGTATAATTTGCTGTTGAAATGGAATACTCAGGATGAAACGGTGAAATCTGCTATGATTAAATGGGCACAAGACGTTGGACATAACATAATGATGGCTGACTGGGAACAGTTATGGACCACAGGTATGAAGTTTACGGCATGCAATGCCTTAAGAGAGAATATTATGAAAATGATATACAGGTGGTACATGACACCAGTCAAGCTTGCAAAAATCTATCATTTGCCCGATAATAAATGTTGGAAATGTAAAGAGAATGAAGGTACATTCTTTCACCTTTGGTGGACGTGCCCAAGGATTAAGGCTTTCTGGGAGATGATCTATAATGAATTGAAAAAGGTATTTAAATATACCTTCTTGAAGAAACCAGAGGCCTTTCTCCTGGGCATAGTCGGCCAATTGGTGTTAAAGAAGGATAGAACTTTCTTTATGTATGCCACAACAGCAGCAAGAATACTTATTGCAAAGTATTGGAAGACACAAGATCTACCCACTCTGGAAGAATGGCAGATGAAGGTGATGGACTACATGGAATTGGCGGAAATGACTGGCAGGATCCGAGACCAGGGAGAAGAGTCGGTGGAAGAAGATTGGAAGAAATTTAAAGACTATTTACAGAAATATTGTAAAATTAATGAATGTTAGAATGATGTTAGAATGAAATTAAGTGGTTCTAGTAGCAATGTCATAAAGGTGTATGTAAAAATGGATGGTTAATAGGTGAGAATCTAAAGTTATAATATATTAAGTTAAAGGACTAAGACATAAACAAAGAGGAAAGGAATTGCTGAATTAACCAATTGAACTGGAATACAAAAAAGGGAGGTGAGAGGAGGTCAGGGAAGCAAGGAAATGAAATATAAGATACGGAAGGATTAATTTGTTTTTAAGTGGTTTTTTCCCCTGTACTTTGTATTTTGTATGTTTTCTCTCTTTTTTTATATATATATTTTCCCTTGTTTCTTTTCTCTTTAACTATGTAATTTTTTGTTTCTGAAATTTTAATAAATATCATTTAAAAAAAAGAAAAAGAAAAAGTTTCCTGCATCCCACACTTTCCAGTGCATTTCCACATCACTTTCCTTATTTCAAAAAGTCAATTTTTTAAAAAGTGGGTTTGTTGCACAATAATGCCAAACGCACTTTAATTGCATGACCTAAATTTGCCGGTATACTATTGAGTCAAACCCACAAAATAGCCTAGAAGCAATGTGGGTGTCTGTTGTCAAATGCATCTTACATTTTGATGACTTCAGCTGTCCTCCAGTAACTTTCAAAAGTGCATTTTTTGCTTACTCTGCAGAACAATTCTTTTTTAAAAAAAAAGCATCTCCCCAGATGCCACCCATAAGGTGAAGTTAAAGGATATTGGAAATCTACTGCATTAGTTTATAGCAGTGGCCAGTGAGATGGTTCTCTGATGGAAACTGGATTGATACCCCTTCTCACTTTGGGGGGGAAAAGAAGGTGAGTGATTTGTACCATTGGTAGCTTACAAATCTCC